AAAGAGTGTTCAGTAGGCTGTATTTTTTTTTTTTCCAGTTCATAATACAGAAAGAAGTTCTGAAGGACATGCAGCACTTAGTGAATACATCTATATACAGTCAGCCAGAATTGAGATAAAAATAATACAGCGATCAAAGTAATTATTCTGGCCTGCCAGATACATTGAACAGACTCTAAAGAGGTTTTCTTCCTTTTTTTTTTTCCTTTTTTTTTTAAAGAAAAGATTAAGACTTTATTCAAGATGTATATCAAGCAGTATAACAAAACCAGCAAAACATCAACCTTTGGAATACTGTTGTAATGGCCATCCTTGTGAGGCATGAAGTTTACCATTTCATCACAGATCTTTTCTACCCATCACAGGAAAGAAATCACGTGAAGTGCACAATGAGGATCCTTAAATAGTTTGTCTAAACGCAAATCCCAACTCTCTATTTCAAATAGGGTGCTAGATGCAAAACAAACAGCAACGAGGAGACTGTGATTAACGAGCATTCGGTCACACGTACAAGGGTTTCATCACGATGTGAGAACACTTCAGAGCAGTCAGAGGCAGCAGGTTGTTTACATGAGGCTGGGGAGCATTGTGTCTCTCCGAGCAGCTTTCTCCCTCTCATTAGGAATAACTAACCCGATTCTCCTTTCCTTCTGCGCTGGGTTTGCACTGACACAATTTAGAGTAGCGTGGGATTAATTCCAAGGTGACAGCGGTACACGTGAAGTCTGTCTTGGCTGTATTTGATGCGATCCTGATTCAGCAATTGGCAATGGCTATAACTGCGCTGACACTGGCCCCTACGATGAGAAAGGAGGTGTGGAGGACTGCACTGAGCTGCTCAAGCTTAGCCAGAATTGAGGTGGATTTACGGTAAATGGGTGAGGTAATTCATGGGCCCATTTTCCATGGACCATCTCCAGCTGCGGTTTCCTTCCCCTCAGCCTCAATTTTACTCGCTCATCATATAATGCAAGTTTGACTTGAGCCTTGGGCTGGGTAAGGGCTGTATTTTCTAGGCTGGCCTGTTCCTTTCAGGGTATGTTCTCAGGCCATCTCCGAGCAGTCAGGAGGTGCCTGCCCGCCCTGCAGCACCCATAGAGGCCGGCTGCCTCAAAGTCCCCTATAGCCAGGCTCTGCTTACTTCAGCCAGATCTGTTGCTATTTTAAACCATCAGCTGAAAGATTGCTTGCTTTTAGGAGGAGTAATCTACAAGCAGTTAGCTGGCTTGCACCCTCGGAGCTGAGAACTGCTCCCCATCACCACCCACCTAAAAGCCACCATCCAGGCGTCCTCTCTTTGCTCGAGTCCTGCAAACTCTCCTTTGCCAGGTGGGGTCAGCATCAGCGCAGGAATCGGGTTTGTTCCTTGGCAGAGGCTCAAGAGAAAAACTGCGACAAAGACACTTCGTGTCCAGTGGTTATTCTGCGTGAACGCAGGCAGCCGAAGAGTGAAATGACGGAGTTGGGGCGACACCTGTAAACAACCTGTGTGTGGAAGATGAGGAATCAAAAGCAAACGACCATTCTCTTCTGTATACAGAACACTACAGCACAAAGTGCACGTGGTTAGGCATTCGCATTTCTTGTCTATCTATACACAAATATACAGCTCGGTTGATAAATTAATGCATTTTTGCCAGAGATACGAAAAGGTTTATTTTTCTCATTTATACATTGAATGTTTTGAGAGATATAAGGCAACTCCCTTGTCAACTATTTCACCTCAGCACTTCAGAAATGCTCAACAGTCAAGTTTACAGTAACACAGCAGATTAGACGCACATTTAATAATTTTAGTGAGAATCAATGAAGTTAATACAGCATGTCTGAGAATAGAATTTGTCAGATGATGTGTAGCTCTATGTTACTGGGGGTTTTTGGCATAATTCAGTGCAAACTTGTCAGCTGCTTTTTTATCTTATGGCAGCCCATCACAGAGCAGGGAAACATAGCTTGCTTGCAACAGGATTTTATTTTCTGCTAACACTGCAGGCAGTTTTTCTGCTTCTTTTTAATGTTTGCCAAAAGAAATCAAATGAACTCGAAAGCTGCTTAAAAATAAAACACACAAGCTTAGCTCCTCAAAGCTTTTGCTGAGTATCTTCCAAGGACTGACTCTTCTGTAACTGCTATTTAGACAGGTTTGTTGGTTTTTTACAATTTACTTTCTGAAGACTTTTTCCTTCTTACTCATTGCAAAATATGACTGAATTAGCACATGTAAAGGAAATAAAATTCTCAGGTAATGAGGCCAAATACTGTGGCAGACAGAGGAGATGAGGTAACTGCTTGCTTTTTCCACTTCTTAGCCAGGTCAGATGATAAACATTTGTGCGTACGTATAATTTATTTCTCTCTTCCCCACACGCATAGGAAGCTCTGGGGGAAACCTCGGGATCCATCGGACAGGAACAGCTGGGATATCGATGCATATCCGGCAGAGAAAAGGTTTCAAAGGCCACTTCAGATTTATCTCTGAGCCTGATACACTCCAGCCGGCTGTTGACATCCTGGCCTGCTGCACCTGAACTAGATTAACGGTACTGTTCACCATCAAGCCTGTGTACTGATCCATTAGTGATGGCACATCCTACGTAATGCTAAATGTTTTTCTAGTCTATGATGTGACAGGTTCCAAGAGCAAACACAAAGGGCCACGTAATTAACTTATGCGTGAATCTCACATGCTCAACACTTACAAGAGACACCAACTTGAAGCACAAATACACAAACCCTACCACGTCTTCCTCTTCTTTTATATTTCTCATTTATATATGGATAAAAATACACCACTCCATCTGATTCTTGTGGTTCTAACCAAACTCCAGGCTTCAAAAAGTAGCTCAGACCCAGCACCCTGCTCTGCTCATCAGCAGCACCTTGCCGGGAAAGCAGAGCGCTGGGACTGACACTGGTGCAGGCAGGGGAGAGAGGTGCGTTTTCCCCTGGAAGTGCGTCACTGAAGTGACTCTAACTTTGTCGCTGCAGCTAGTAAAAGCCTGGCTCGCTTACATTTTAAAACCAGCAGTAGAACATTTGCCGCAAGCAATACGATCTAGTTGTTCTAGCCGCCGTCATTTTCCACACAATACTCTCCTGGCTCAGGCTGATAAAATTTAAGACTCCCCCTTCGTTACATCGTTGAAACCATTTATTTTCTCTTCCACATCTCTTCCTCGTCCTCTGTAAGTGGTTCTGTCTCTATGGTTTTTAGCACAATGATTTTCCTAGAACACGTGATTTACTTGCAGAAAGAGAAATGGAGTTGCAGCTCAGCTTTCACTAATGAATTTTGGACATTTGGTACAGTCAAAGCACTTTGACATTTGTTACATTTTTCACAGTCTTGAGGAGGAAGGGAGGAAAGAGTAATCCATGGTGTCTGCAAATCCACTTCATTAATGGTAAAGCCATAAATAAATACACTGTCAATGTATCATCGTGAGTAACTGATTATTTTTGTTTCCGCTGTGCATTCACAGAGCTAGAGCTATGCAGACACAAATGAGAGTTGTGAACGAACAGTCTTACAGAACTACTGCGAGTGGGTGTACACTCTGCAAACGAAACAAGGGCTCTTAACCTGCAGGTGTCTGCCAGACTGTCCTACCCACGTCACAGACAAACGCAAGAAGCGTGTAACAGAAGGATACAGAGAGAGGAAAGAGAAAGGCCATGTCTACAATGCTGTACATCAAAGCACATCCATCCCACTGCTGTTTCCTACATTATTAACGAGTAGCTCTTTAAGGCAGAAGAGAGACATTCTGTGGATCTTGGTGCTATTGGCTCATTGCACTCACATTGTTTCAGTGGCGGAGGACGAGGTACTTTTCTTCCTGAAGCGAGGTCTAAGGGTCCTAGGCGGTGCCTGCAGAAAAGCGAGAGAAAATGTCAGCGGCATAATACGAAACAATTTTTCTTTCCTTAAAACTCACCCATCTTTGTGGCACCTCTGTGGTACTGATCCTATTCCAGGCATGAAGTAACGGAGAAGCAGATCTTGGCCCTGCAGATCATTAATGAATGACCAGCTGAGGACTAACCCCTTTAAGAAACTCATTGTAGTCCTTTACCCAGGTTACACCTTCCCCTCTGGCGCTTGGTTAGAGGTGCGGCTAAAGATTGCTAATAACATAATGGTTGAAGGAGTCAGGACAAATTGGTGCCATTTACAGCAGCTCTTGGATTAAGAGAAGAAACGAGTGGCAGAAAGCCAGCTCTGGTGTCTCCCAGCCCACCTACACAGTCCCTCTGAGAGTACAGCTTATTGGGGCATTACAGAGCTGAAAGGGTCCCCCAGGTGAAACACATCGACCTGTAATTCTCACAAAAGATCAGCCCCTCGCTTGGGAGACAGGCGAGACACGATCCATTGAAATTTTTTTAGAAGCCAACTATTGCAATTCTGCCTTGCAGTTAGCTGATGCAGAGAGTTTTAAAAAGGAGCCCTGAATGCCCAGGAGGAGCCAGACCAACTCCATGAAACTGGTTTACTGTGATTAACCCTGTTCCCCAGACTGAGACAGAAATTAGGTAGACTAGAAGACCAAACAAACGAAAAAAACCCCCAATCTGCAACGCATACTTCTCTCAGAAGAGCTTTGACATGGCATTGTGTCTTGTGAGCTTCACAAAAAGAAATGGTTACCAGATGTTGCGGAGGAGCACAAATTCTCTGCATGGAGGCCTGTCATAGCATCATGCAACACTGCACGGCCTGGTAAGCACTTCTACTCCATTTACATAAATATCCAAAGCTTTATTTTCTGTATATAATTTCTATATAGCATCAACCTATTTACCTGTAAGACTATGACGGGGTCTTATCATTCATAAATGAGGACTCTGTCACTTCTATTTTATAGGACTTTCAAACCCAGGATCATGCTGTATTTCCACATTCCCGTGATGCAGCAAGGTAAAATAGTCATATAGATAAAGATCTGCAGTATGGTGAGGTTTGGTTTAGACTCCATCTTACTCTCCATCTCTTCCAGCTTGCCCATAAATCAAAGTGGTTTCTCAGAGATGAGATTACTCCACCACCTCACCTTGTCTTCCAACCTTGAAATCTTAGCCTAAGTCCCCACTGTGAATCACAGAATCATATAGAATCACAGAATGGTTTGGGTTGGAAGGGATCTTCAAGACCATCTGGTTCCAACCTCATGCCACGGGCAGGGACACCCTCCACTAGCCCAGGTTGCCCAAAGCCCCACCCAACCTGGCCTTGAACACTTCCAGGGATGGGGCATCCACAACTTCTCTGGACAACCTGTGCCAGTGCCTCACCACCCTCACAGTGAAGAATTTCTTCCTAACATCTAATCTGACAGTAGCTAGAGGGGCTGCATCTTTCCATGGTAAGAACAGGGCAGCCCAGCTTTTGGTGAGAGCCTCCAGAGGTAGGACAACCCACCAGAAGGACATACAACTGCTAACCAAACCACACCTCTCCTGCTCCCTCACACTGAGCCAAGGGGTGGGTGGAATAAACCCAGTTCTCCTGGCTTGGATCTGAGAGCTGCTGGCTGTGGCTCCATCCCCCCTGCCCAGATCTGGAAGGAGTCTTTGCCTACAGCATCTCCCATGGAGGTTTTATTTCCTCCACAACAAAATGCTGCTAAAATTGCTTTTGGCAAACCATAGTGTGAGATCTGCATCTCCTTTAGTTCTTTTGTTTCCATGAAGCAACTCAAAGCATACTCGTTAATACCATGCCTGATTCAAAAACCTATCGAGGTGTCGAAGGAAGAACTGCTGCTGCTGTCGGTGGGGTTTGGTTAGGTGTGAACTCAAGTGAAAGGGACCGCGGTCTGAACTGTGAGTGCTCCAGCTGTGGGGGCTGGCTGTTCTCACCGTTAACTATCCTACCTTGGAGGTGAGAATATATTTTCCTCTACAGACACGAAAAATGAACTAGCTGTTGATAACCAAACCCTCTCACCCACATACCTCCACATTAGCACGTGGTTTCGAGCTAGATCCAAGTTTTGCAACTCAGATCCAACTCTGAAGCCCTGTAGAACTGTTATCTCCACCGGCACAAACTCGGACTTCTTTCAGGAAATCCACAGGTGCAGCAAAGTGCGATAACACCTAGCAAGACCCACCCTTGAAAGACCAGGAATGTATTGTTTGGAGTCAGTGTTTTTAGAGCAAAGAGAGATATTCATTCGGTCGAAGATTCAAGGAATGTCATAGAACGAGGCGCCTTGTACCTCAAGGGGTTGATCCTTCTTTTTGGGCCTTTTGTTCATGGATGCACAATCCAATGAATCGTTCTCTTCATCATCTGAAAACACAGAGCCTTTTGTTTCACAGTTTGCCTCAGGTGGCTTTTCATACTTATTGTCCACACCTATTTAACATGGCCATGTGCAGTCTAAACGTGAAGACAAAGGATGAGGAAATCAGTGACTGATTCATGGTCTGCCAAATACCACCTCACTGCAAAGCCATGCATCTTCCAGGGATTAATAGACAGAAGGTTCACACATCACACTCTAGTAACAGCAGCTGTGGGGTTAGAAATCAAAAGGCTCTTGTTATGAAGCCATTATAAGCTCTATTTGGATTATTTTACATAGACTTGAGACTAAATTCACAGCCTCTGATGTTCTGGAGGTTGACTCTAGAAAAAGATTGTTTGTTTGTTTGTTTGTTTGGCTCAGGGATAAATAAAATAGCTGATTTCTTGAATTGCCGATTCCATCCATAGTTCCTGCATCTACTGCTTCCAGAAGGAGTATCCTCTAGAAGACACCAAATGAGTGTTGAAGTCCTCTGGTCAGTAGAGAGAGCACTGCCTGGGATACAGAAATCTGGAGCACAGCAGCACTTATAGACTTGAAGCTGAGAGAGCTCAAGCCAAGCACCCAGTCCGAGATCCAGTGAAATTAACCAAAAGCTTCAGCAGGCATTGAATGGACCCTGAGGAAGTGGAGAAAAGTCTCTCTTCTGCCACTCTGGAGTAAATCTTACGGAGCATTAACTCCACTGACAGATCTGACAGCAGACTATGGCCCCGTGACTGCAGACCACTAACGTCTGCTTGGTGATTCTTATCCATGTAACTTAGGGCACGATCTTTGTGGGGCTGCTCAAGTTGCACAACACGATCCATTTGCTGCCTTAAATCCAGATAGTGAAGCAAGACGGTATTTTCAATAGCCAGTCCAAAGCAAGAGGTACAACAAAGGACTCCGAGAATGACCAAGCTTCTTGCAGATCCACAGACAGTTTCTTATCAGCAGGGCTGGAGCCTTCTCTGCTTAACTGACATGCTTTTTTCATTCTGAAACATGTCGGGAGTGGAAGCATTTGCTGTTTAGATGGCATTGATCACAATTATTTGCTCTATTCTTAGACTGTTGTATGAACATACATAGAAATAATGCTCTGTGCTTCTTGTCTCAGCCTGACTGTAAGACTCTGCTGGTCCAAAGACTAAAACCAAAGAGGATTCTTAAACATTTAAGACTTATTAATCCATTTAGATCCTTAAAGCACAGAAGAACTGAATTCTCCAACAGTTCTTTCAGTTGAGTAATTGAGAGACAAAGGGGAAGTGATTTGGCTACAGCAACACCACAAGTCATGAGCAGGTCACTGGGGCTCTCTCCAGTGCCAAATTCAAGTCAGCAGCTAAACGCTCTTGGCCCCTGCCTTCTGCCCACAGGATGCGGCTGCTGCTCGAGAGAGCGGTGCACACCATTGTCTGGCCACTGACCCTGTGTTTCTACTCCTTTATCACCACTTGCATGGGCAGGCTGGAAGACACTATTGCAGGTTTCCAGGAAGAGCTGGAAGTTGACTTTTTTCCCAGCTGTACTGAAAATGCTGATAGTCATGTTGCAGAGAGGCCCGAGATAATGCTGAATTGGGGTTTTTCTATGTATAACTGTAGTGTTAAGACTACACTGTGAGGAGAATTAAATGTTGTCTAGATCACATAGCAAAGCAGTACAGGAACATTTTAATTACTATTTTATCCTTCCACTTGGAGAGTGAGGTATTCAGGAGGAGCCTAACTTAGATCATCTTGGATGTGGGAACTGGTCCTTGGTGACTCTCTAAGCCAATGAAAAATGGAGTCAAGTTTGTTTTAAATGCCATTTTTTCAGAGCTTGAGCAATACCCTGAACCGATCATGCCCAAATCTACAGCCTGGAGGCCAAGCACTGCCCCCAACACCAATTCATTTGACTGCTCCCAGCTGCCCTCTTCCCCAGAGGTCCCTCAGATGTGGACTGCAGACTGAACTTTAGGGAGTTTGTCTCCAGATTGTAAAAGCGGGTCAGGACTTCTTTCAACTGCCTCACTGAGGTTTGCACGGTGGCCCACCAACACACGCATGACCATGTGCTGCTACAAGGAGACAACAGCTTTCCCCAGGAAAAAGAGGACGGGATGGAGGGGTATTGGAGAACCAGAATTAGAGCATTCAGTGACCAGAGTGTGGAGACACTCGCTGCTGAAGTTGAGAGCATACACGATTAGGCAAATATCCCCTGCTCCCCTTCTCCTACAGCCAGCTGCTTCGCTGCAAAAGGAGACAGAAGGAACTGTCAGCCCTGATAATGCTCCCACGAAGCCCCTGTTTTTCCAGCACACACTGCTTTCTCCATTATTATTGTCTCTCTTGAATTGGGTACTGGGCGAAAAAGATATCCAGGCAGCTCTGCCACCCGCGGCGCCTGTCTCCGCAACAGGCACAGCAGAGGCACAGCCTCCCGCAGGCTCCTCTACTCTCCTCACCAGCCTGAGCGTCACATCCATGTCCTGGAGCTGCTTCTGTGAAGATCAAGAGGAGAGTTCAGCCTCCAAGCTGGCACATGCCGCTTTGACGCCTGCAGCAGAGACGTCTGTAAAGTCCACTGGAAGTTGGGCTGATGCCCTCTTCTCCTCTGCTCCGTCTCATTGTGAATGAGGCACTGAAGACCAGCCAAATGGGGAACAGTTTTGCTTCAGCCTCACTGAACCAGAAAAAGAAAGAAGCGGGACTCTCTCAGGTCTTTCCACTACATTTCTGACCACTGACAAGAGCAGATTTTGAATACACACGGCCCTTTCTTTAAGGCCTGGAGCAAGAAGGGAGGATTCCCTGCCCATCCTGCCTCAGGTAGGACATCTGTATTGTGGGCAATCCCAAAGTCGTATTGATCTGGGGTGCCAGACTTTATCCCACATTTGTGGAAGCATTATGCTGTTGTTGGACTGGAGGCAACTAATCTCCAAAGGGCTGCTGCTGCATCAGTGCCATCTGTAAAATTGGGGTGTTTTGTGAATAGTGATGACAGGATAAGAAACTAGTTTTCTTACACCAAGAGAGTGAGTCCTCTGCAGGAGAAAATGTAAAGCAGGGGATTAACCAGAATAATAAGCACACGTGTGAAGAATTAGTGAGAAAGGAGATGGAGGTTTAAAGTGAATGGATGGATTCTGGGACACCAACGTTTGTTTCTGGAGAAGGTGAAGACTAAGGAGCAAAACATGTTGTCAGGGTTGGCACAGGCTTCTTGAGGACAGCACTTGGCCTTGGGTGACCTCCTGTGTGTTTCTAAGAGCTGTCTTTAGGATCTGAGGCTGTGGGGCCTCAGGCCACTATCAGATGTCCCCAAAGTGGCAGAGCCAGCAGCCTGTGCTGCTCCAGGGAAGCAGCTGACAGCCTTGGGGACTGTGTCACAGCCAGGACGTGGCTGTGTAAATGCATGGACCACACACCAGACATCTCCCCTGGTTCTCTTGTCTTTGGGAGACTCTCACTGTCTGGCTCAGAGCTGTGTTTCGGGTGTCTCCACCTGTTACATGTATGGATCCACACCTTTGCATGGAAGAGCAGAATTGCTGCAGAAATGGGAAATCGGCTGGTGTGCTAGGGTGAAAGCTGCTTCCGCCTCTTGCAAGTGTCTTTTCAGTATCTAGACCAGATTACACTTCTCTCCTCACTAAGGCAAGACAGAATCTGATGTAAACAGTCTAAGGAAATGGACCCCATAATTCTGGTTCCTATCATCCGATCCTAATTCCTTCAAAGCAAACCAATATAACCAACACATTGGGTGGGAAGCCCTGAAGCTGGGCATATCCTAAGTTAAAGTAGATATTTGAGTGCTCTGCAGAATTGGGATCTAAGCTATTAAATGCACCACAGGGAACAACCCAGCATGGACAAGGGAATGTAGGGCCAGATCATCGTCATCTTTAATCTCTGATTCTACAAGGGCTAAGAAATTTCACTTGCAAAACTCTTTCCACAGCAACAAATGGGATTCAGTAGTGTGCTGTTGTTTTCGGCAATTGCTTTGATTCAGGCTCTGATTTATGTTGCTGTGTAAATCCAAAGTAACTCCTATGGATTTTCATGAGTGTAACAGAGGTCAGGACTTGGCCCACTCTAATTACAGACGAGCAACTGACTTTCATCTAGATTCTCTGAAAAATTTGGACACTTAAATACAGTTAGAGTGGGAATCTGGAACCCCAATGCCATTGAGAGAATCTGGACCGTTGCCCTTATTTTGCTGGGCAGTACTTCTTCCTCACATCAGTGTAATTCCTTGGGAGCAATGGGGAAAACTACAGTCACAGACTGCACAAGCCAGGAGCAAGGTATTGTATTATAGTAATGGAAGATAAAGTCACTCCAAAGCTAAGCCTTTCTAGGGGATAATTCATATAAAGAGGTTTACACACGACTTAATAAGAGCAAGAGAACAGATATTTATTATACGATGGCGATCAGCTTCTTTTCCCTGCAACAAAGATAAATTTGCCATCATTTCCAAAAGACATTGACCCAAGTCACGTACTTCCCCAACAGTTTTCATTGCCAAACCAAGAAGTCAGGAGCAGCCACCTCCACCAGCACACACTGCCCAGGAACCACAAAACAGAGGCAGACATCCTTTCCAAAGCTGGAGTCAAGTGCAACCAAAGCAAACAATTCTAATCACATCAACAAAGTCATCCGTTAATGAAAACACATCCCACAAATGATTAAGTTGTTAAGTGCTAGTCTACTCCAAACACCTCAGAAGAAAACTCATGCAATCTGTAACACTTACATCAGAGTCCCATAATATTTACATAGAGAAAAGGAAAGAATAAATTGTTAGGGGAAAACATTTGGGTGCAGAGGGGGAACATTGTTTCAGAGCACAGAAATCTTCACTGTTGCTTTCATAATATCTGTGGTTCAACTGGAGTTTATTAAACAACAATTAATGCTTTAACTTTCTGTTGGTAAAATGCCAAGTGTACTGAAAAGAACCTACTGATTTTCTATGAAAATTTTTCCTTCTCTGAAATAACCAAAAGAAGTATGAAAATAATTATAAATGCCCGGAGAAATTCCCAAATTGCCATTCAGAGTTACCATTCAGTTTGCCATTCAGTTTGCAAAGTGATGCAAATCATCCTTGTAAAAATTTGATTCAACATTTAGTAACGGGAAGTTTTAAGGAACAAAATGCCTAGAGCAATGGAAAGTTGTCATTTGTTCTTTAAGTTCAATGAGAAAAAGGTTAAAAAAAAAAATCCCTGGAACAAGAGCTGGCTAAGAAAAAAAATAATGAAACCACTCACACCATTTAATTGAATTAGTTCAGAGATATATGAAAAAAACCCTTGACGCAAAGTCAATTAGTTTTTTAAGAGTACTTTCCACTGTAATAATCTCATGTGCAATCTGTAGCATACCACAAAGAAGGGGTTGGATACATCTAATATACCAATAAGGTGATTTGTTTAAAACACAATTAAGTGACTGTCCCATTAAAGTCCTCGCTGAGCTGTACTGTTGATTGTGTGTGATCTGTCACCTCGTCTTCAGGGTGACAATCACATGTAGGAAGAGATCCAACATTATTGTATTGGAAAAACTCCAGGGGCTTGGCTTTATGCTGCAACACCTTGTGGATGGCTGACTGATGGCTAGGTGACAGTCACCACGGGGTTGGACACATCTAATATACCAATAAGATGATTTGTTTAAAACAATTAAGTGACTGTCCCATTAAAGTCCTTGCTGAGCTGTACTGTTGATTGTGTGTGATCTGTCACCTCGTCTTCAGGGTGACAATCACATGTAGGAAGAGATCCAACATTATTGTATTGGAAAAACTCCAGGGGCTTGGCTTTATGCTGCAACACCTTGTGGATGGCTGACTGATGGCTAGGTGACAGTCACCACTGAGCTGTAGTTTTTAAGGCATACATTACTGTATCAGTCACTGCTGTGGAGCACAACCCTGTGGTGCACACTCAAAAACCAGTCCCATTCATCGGTAATGTCCTTGCACATTTCTTACATTTGCCTAAGGCTCCTGATCAGCATTTTAGTATTAAATGTCCCCTCAAATACATGCAGCCGCAACAGTTCTCCTGATACACAGCTGATTCTTCAATATCTGCTAGATATATTTATTCTCTGCAAGGATTAAAATTGTTCCTCCCTCTCAACCATGCCACAGGTCTTTGCAACAGCATCTAAGAGTTGTTAGTTGAGACAATACCACCGAATAAAATATTTGTTACTTCTTAAATGCCAGTTCCAAGCAAGCTTGTTTAATATTGACCAGTGTTTAAGCATTTACACCAGGCACTGCCAAAAGACAAACAGATATCCCTGGAGATTTTCACTCTGTCCTTCCTGAAGGGGGAAAAAGAGCTTTTACATAATTGTGCTGTTGTTCCCTAATGCTGCAGCCTGACTTTCCATAGGCCGTGAACGTAGAAGAGATAAATCAGAAACCTGTGTAAAGACCTGGAAGGAGTTTTGCCAGCAAAGGCCCGCCACTGAACAAGAGCAAGAAGAGCTAATGCAGAAGCTGTCAAGACACGCTGAGTATATGTAGTGGAACACGCCTGCATTTAGTGAAGCTGCCCAGAGCAAAGGAGGATGAATGTCCTGAATTGTGTCAATGCTTTGTCACGTGCAGACTGTGAGGCTGGCTGGAGTGAGCCAGCTGGGAAGGAAAGAGTTCTTCTGTGAAGCAAACAGCTTCAGCAGCAGAGGAGCCCGTCACCACTGACAGATCTGCCCCTGTAGAGGGGGAGCTTACGTGACACTCAGCCTGGGCTTCAGTCTCTGCATAAATGCACACTCCATGGCTACATCCTCATGAAACCTTCTCTCAGAGTATCATCGAGGGAGCAGCATGGGCAGACTTTGCTCCCACCAGCCTGTGCTCTCCTAAGAGCTGTAGGGGTTTCTATGAGTCAGACAGGGAGAGAAACAATTGAGCTTCACCCACAAAAGCATTAAGGCAACTGCTCCTGTCAAAAACGCTGCATCATGGCTCTAAACCAGGCTTTAATACTCCTGCTTGAGGTAAGGCTTGACTATCTGCCCATTTAGATTATAGAATTTTTGGAAATGAGTACCATTAATGATTGTACTCTGAAATGGGCTACACAAAAGTTTGCACCAAGGAAAGATGAGTGCCAACAGTTTAGGACAACTTAGTCCTAGCTAAACAACCTTAGCTTCTTTCTTTCCCTTGCTTATTGTGGTGTTGAGAAAATGTGTTCGCATTACGTAGTCAGCTCTCTAAGCTACCAAAGCTGCACTTACAAAGGAGCGTTTTAAACGGCTGGCCGTTGTCTGAGAGTGCATTAATGCATCTATTGCCTTGGAGACAGAGAAATGGCAGCCTGTGGAGACAGAATGAACCCTCTATGAGATAGAGCCTCAGCATATCCCTATTGACATGGTCCAAGGGACTGCATTATGCCAGAGGGAATAAAATAGTAAGACAAGCCAATCTGAAAGACAGGGCATGCAATTTAAACCAGATCAATATGTCTTTGGGCCCAATTTGTAAACATATTGGACTGATTACTCCTTTACCATCATCAAATGACTTTCCTAAGATTAACTCATGACTATTAAGCACTTAAGGATTCGGTGATTCTTTTTATAAGTAACACTTTTGAAGTCAAATCCATAAAATTGGTTTAGGCTAAAATTAGAAAGGTGCTAATAAAATGCACTGCGAATACAAGCGTTTCATGATTGCTTAAACAAGCACCAGCTCAAACAGGCTTCTTTCTCCTGCACACTGGCACACTCAGCCCAAATGTGCTAGTGCAAAGAACCAGAAAAGGACAATGGAGGGGGTGACAAACCAAGTAGGAGGGTTGGTTTGCCACCTACGCAGCGTGAAAGGAGACAGTGTCAGGCTGAGATCACCAGCCTCCAAGCACTAATGCTGCACAGGGCTGCATGGCACATCAGGTGCAAGGCAGTGGGAAGGTACACCCCGATACCCTGGAAGGGACATGAACCAGCAGCAATGGCTGCAGCAGGGTGGCAGCACATTCAGTCCCTCTGCTGCTGTCCCCAGGTTGATTGCAGTATGCAAAATAAAAAAAAAGTACATCAGATGAGAGAAGTAAAGGAGTTACGAAGGTCTTTTGCTTCGACCAACAGGAGACACTGCCAGTCTGGATTTCTTCTTTCTCCCTAGACAAGCTGCTTGGCAGCCCCATCCTCTGGCACACCCAAATCAGAGGCCTCCCCCTCCTTTCATCTGCCACTGGGACAAAATACAGAAATGATACGGCTCAGCTCTTAGCAACCAAGCTAATAGGCACAGCATTGAAAAGACCATGGGCAGCTAAACTGTTCACTACACTCCTGAGTTTGTAAACACAAAAAATGCTAGGGACAGTGGGACATTTTTCAAAAACAGCTCTAGGACAGACTGAAGCAGGAAGAGTCTGTTCAACCCTATTTTGTCATACCACGGTCTGCTACTACGCTTTGCTATATACGTTGCTCATCCCAAATACAAGTGTGCTCTCCACCAACAGAGAAACACGTGCCAGTCCTTAGGGAACAGAGCAAAACAGGGTTGGGACTGAGAGACGTTTGGTCTTGCCGTGTTCCTAGTGGTTTTACACTAACACGGGGGGATATGGGGCAGAGGATACTCTGGTGCAGCAAGAACAGTGGTTACATCCTCTAGAACAGAAAGGACTGAAGTTTTTCTCCAGAGAAACGCTCCCCAGCCTTGGGTAACACGGGTCAGTAAGGTGAGAAACAGCGCAATACTTGTTTACACTAGCACGGGGGGATATGGGGCAGAGGAGTTACTCTGGTGCAGCAAGAACAGTGGTTACATCCTCTAGAACAGAAAGGACTGAAGTTTTTCTCCAGAGAAACGCTCCCCAGCCTTGGGTAACACGGGTCAGTAAGGTGAGAAACAGCGCAATACTTGCCATCAGCACACACACAGCTCACAAACTTGCTCACAGCCTGGCCTTCCCCTGGTGTTACAAAACCCAGTGAGTACGAGCAGTAGGAGGAAGCCAGGCTGGGGAACGCAGCCATGCCCAAAAGGGATGCATGGGTATCGGGGCACAGGAAATCCAGCACTCACCTCTGAGGAGTCGGCATACTGAGCAACACGTGCACACTGAAAGAAGAGCTGAGCGTTAGGAACTCATCAGGCTAAGCTACTATCTCTCAGAAAACACTTGGTATCATTTTGAGGTGGATTTTGTGTCCCCCCTGTGCATTAAAAGACGATTGTTTCTATTTATCAGCACGGAGCACAGACCCAGGGACGTGCCTAATGGGTGTTAAGGCTGGGATTACGTACAGCTCCCTGGCTCTGTTCTCAGATCACTAAACAGAAATAACTCCTGACTAGAGGGGCCTGGGAGCGTGCATAAGCAATGGGCAACACAGCACAAAAGGCTGTGTGATAATAAACACAGGGTGCAATACTGGGACTTGTATTGCTACACGCATGGGTGTTTTTTCAGTAGATGTAGACTTCTACAAGCACTGGTGCAACCATTCACACAGCTTCTGAAGGCAAACTATCCACAGATCCCTGATCTTCCTAAATCAGGAACATGCTGAGGACTCCTGCAGGAATTATATTTTAATGGAATTACCGTAAGGATGAAAGCAACCAAGGGAATTGCATTGCACCCTTCTGTGCAAATGCAGGTGATTCACAGCTGTTCAAAGAAGTGTGACCTTTACAGCTTCATCTTGTGGATAGTTTGTGCTCCAGGAAACAGCCTAGAAATGATTTCCAGTTTGGGCCTTCCATTTTATTCCTCACAGTGGCATCAATGACTCCAGATAAAAGAAGCTTTTAGAGGAAAAAAAAGGTTTGAGCTCTGTGTTATTTCTTTGGTTACAATTATCCAGCACTGCGGACACTGAAAGTTCTTCCATAGTTTCACAGTCATTTTAAACCAGTGGTGCTGCTGAAAGCAGATGTCCCATTGCCCCTTGCGCTCTGGCCTCCACCTTCCTTGTCCCATTGCTGATGTCTTTGCTGCTGCTCTCTACTGGCATGAGGATCTGACCCAGGTCAAGAGCAACCTGGAAGCAAGGAACAGCATTTAACTTGAACCAGCTCCCTGACTGGGCTCAGCATATATAAATAAGATTTAAATATGTCCAAGGGAAAGCATGGTACAAGGCAGAAGCAAAGGTCATACCCATACCATTTCAGCAG